TAGGGGATGAGGGCCCTCCATAGACCAAAATATCATAGGTGATGTTGTATGTCTCCCAAACTGGTTTGCCTTCCAGCATTCCCTGTTCTACTCTGCTGGCGATGATTCAAGGACAGTGCTCCTGCCCCATTTCTGGGTGAGCTGAGAGAAGGAAAGGTACATGGTGTCTGAGGAGCGTATGGCTTTATTAGGGTCAGTTCTGGTCTCCCTGACTCTGAGACTGTGTCGATCCAAAACCAGGGGGTTCCGATGACAGATTCAATTCAAACTCCTCTCAAACTCCCCCGGCCACTGGGAGTTAGGAGGGCCTGACGCTCTGCATCAGGCAGTATCTCCTAGGGTATAATGTAACCACTAACACACCAGGTCCCCAAGGGCATCCATTTAATAAGCTGGTGAAGGAGAACCATGTAGTAAGGGCAACAGGAACACACACCACTGCACCACAGAGTGTGCAAAAACATACTGCGACACGGTGGCAGGGTAGGGGAGCACAGGCAGTGTTGGGTGCCACTCTGCACTAACTTACTTCGCAACCTTAGACAAGTTACCTATCCTCCCCGGATCTTAGTTTGCTTATGTGTTGCAGTGGTATCTACCCCATAGGGTAGCATATGTAGAGACTTGAAAGAGGTAGCACACGTAAAATGTTTAGCAGCCATGGATATAAGCCATGGGAATGGAATGTATTCACTTCTAACTAAACCGTGCCTGTGTTAAAAAAAGAAGTAAAAGCTCTTAAATTTTGGACACACAGTCTTCCGTGGGTCAAAGTTCAAATGCTGGTGTCTCGGTGAAGCTATTAAAAGAGCATAAGCTCTGTGAGGCCAGAGATCCTTACTCATCACTTTCCTCCAAAGTTTACATGGTGCCTCACCCATAGTATGGCTCAACAGATGTTCTGTGGATGGATGCATGGATAGATAGGCCAAAACATAGAAGTGCTGTCCTTCAGTTACAAAGAGGGCTGCCGCTGGAGAATGGATTTCCTCTGTCCCTCTCTCAGTGAATAGCACCTGACATCCCTCATGCTAAGATAAAAATTTGGGTGTCACTGTGACCATTCTTTCTCATTCACTCCTCACAAGCAATCAGCTCTGTCGGTTCTACCTCTTAAATTTTAGCTTGCAAATGCATTCTCTTTGCCATAACTCCACTGTCACTGCCTTTGTTCAGGGCCTTCCCAGTTCCATTCTGGGTTTCTACACCACCTGCAAACTACTTTCTAGGCCTCCAGTCTGTACCCAGCCCTTCCAAGCCACGCTCCACACTTGGGACAGAGTGATTTTTAAAAAGCACAGATTTGATCAAGACATTACTGCCACCCCACACTCCCAAACCCTTGCCAGCAGCCTCATTAAGGATGTTCCATGACACACTATAGACTTAAAGATAAAGCCTGAACACCTAAGCATGGCATCCTCAGCCTTCACAAATGTGCCCCTATCTGCCTCTCTGGTCTTACCCAGCCAGTCACCAACCCACCCACCTTGGGCTCCAGGACATCTGTAGCAAGTTTATGCTCTCTCTTGCCCTGTGCCATTGCCTGGGCTTCTTCCTCTGCCCGGAATACTTTTCCTCCACCTTCCCTGTTCCCTTCCACATTCTTTGGAACTCAGCCTCACCATCACGCTCCTGGGTTGCTTTCTCTAATTGGCCCTGGCCCAAGAATTGGATATCTTTCCTCCTAGGTACTCCCAGGGCTTCGGGCTTAGCCCACAACTCTGTGATCTTTTTCCCTGCCTGTCCTTCCCGGGTGCCTGGCTCACACAGTGCAGTGTTTTATCTTCAGTGTACCTAGTACACCCCCATCTAGTTCTGGCACAATGAGTTTCTTTTTTTTTTTTTAATCCCTGCTTTTATGAAGCTTATATTCTCTCGCTCTTTCTTTTAATGTTTATCTATTTTGAGAGAGAGTGAGAGCCAGTGGGGGAGGGGAAGAGAGGGAGGGAGACAGAGACTCCCAAGCAGGCTACACACCATCAGCACACAGAGCCTGATGCAGGGCTCAAACTCACGAACCATGAGATCATGACCTGAAACGAAATCAAGAGTCAGATGCTTAACTGACTGAGCCACCCAGGTGCCCTGGCACCGTGAGTTTCTTGAATTGATAAATGTGTTGTGTCACACCCAACATTCACTTTCTCAGAAGCATATTCATAATCAACATCACGTCTTTGGATGCTGTGTGACCAGGCAAGATAATTAGCCAAGGATTAGAGTATGGTATATAACTCTAGAAAAATCTATTAGAATAAACATGTGGAGAACATATGTTTCTAACCAAACATCAAGACATGATCTGACAAATATGATCACATGTTTTTCTGTCCTAGAAACATTTGCACATATGATATCTATAGCCACCCAATCTGATCTGTCATTTTTGCCCTACTATGTTATCCAAACATGCCAACTCAAGACATTGAATTAATAGCCAACATGTAAGTGACTAATGTTCTTGGTGAGCTTGCTGTGCAGTAAGCATTATGTGAAGTGCTCTGCAATCACTTACAAAGTGATTTAATCTTCTCACTTACCCTCTGAAGCAGATCTTTTTATTATCGCCATCTTACAGATGAGGAAACGAAGGCGTAACACTTGCCAAGGATTACACAGGCAGCAATGAACATCTTACCAGCAGTAGATGAGTGGTCTGTTTGATCCTCTCAGTCATTCTGCTACACTGACCTAGCCATGACCTCTTAACCTTATTAGATTATCAGAAGAGCCACTGCTGGGCAAAAATAGCTGGTAGCTTCCGGAAATTTTTATTAAAACTCTAAATCTCCTGGCAATAACTTTCAAAAGTCATGATTCAGACCAGAAGTGATATTTGAAAATGGAATCACAATGCAGGTCTCTTGTCTACAGAGATGCTTTCACTGCCAGAGAGGAATGCTCAACCTTGACATTTATGACAATCTGTGTTTTTCCTGTCATGGGGCTTTCACCATCATTGTCCATTGAAAGGCACTGGCCCTCATTGTATCCTCCCTGAGGAATCCTGTCAGGTTTAATCAGTCTGTCCTGTTCCTTGATTGCCATTTCATTGGGATCTAGAGGAATGTTTCTTAAAGTTCTGACAGCTGACCACCAACATAATGATCCTCCCGGGCACTTATAAAAATGAATATTCCTGGGCCCCATACCTATCGCATAGAATCTCTACAGATTGAAGCTCCAGGAAGCAGCATTTTAATCGCATTCTCCAGGCAAGTCTTACGAATACCAATGTTTCAGAACCACAGATGTGGTCTCCACATCCTCACAGCTCTAAGTGTGCTCCCTGGACCAGCACCAGCAGCTTGCTAGAAAACACGAAGTTCTTAGTAAGAACCCCAGTCCTGAAACAGCTGAATCAGAACTTGCATTTTAAAGAAGGTGATTTGTATTCACATTACTGTGCATAGAGAGAACCAGTGATCTAGAACAGGGTTTCCCAATGTTTTTCACTTCATGGCATGAGTGGAAAACAAAAGCACTTGTTTAGCATACAGATGAGAATGCCCACTGCGACAAAAGGGGCTCAGCGTCAACTTGGCCACCCCGAAGACTGAGGGGATCGATATTCCGGGTGTGCCTGATCACAACACACTAGCTGAGTAGCACTGGTCTACTTAGAAGAGTACCCAATTCTGCTAACTTTCTTCATTAGGCATAACTCCCTAAATCTTGACTGTTCTTATTTCCCTCATTATTTATCATTTCTTTCCAAGCATACATAGAGTCAGAAAGGCTACATCAATAAGGCCTTAGAAATCGTCATGCAATGGAAGAACACAGTCACATCTTCACATTCCAGGTGGACTCTTTGAGAAACGCAGAGATAAAAAGTTGTCTGTTATTCTGAAAAGTCATCTGCTATGCACCAAGGAATACGAGGAAGAAATAAGAGCCTTCTGCCTCCCAAAGAATGCTCTTTCCTCTTAGTCCACAAATCTGAGGATGGAGGATCACCAGCACACAAGGTGGCTTCCTATCTCCTGAAGAATGTGCCAAGAAAAATGTGATTTTGTTTAATCCTTCCCTAGCCAAATCTGCCAGCTTATAAACTGGACAGGTGTCCCTTCTCTTAGCCAGCCCCTGATAATGGGACGACAGTTGGGATGGAGGGAATGGAAATAGAATACCTTCAGACACACTACTTGGTGAGATGATCTGATCAACATGACCAAGTGTCCAGACACACCATCTGACTTTGCAAAGCCCCCAACTACATGGGAATCCCTTTCCTTCCCCCACTAAAGAAGATGTTGAAAAAATTTAAAGCTCTAAATGATGAGCTCTTACTCTGAAACGAATGACAAGATCTATCCCTAAATGAAATATTGTAGTAAACTAAGCAAATATAATTGCGGAAGAGGTGGTGGGAGAGAACTCTTGCTCCCAAACAACTCACTTTTTTTCTTCTCTTTTCACTTTATCTGCAAATATGGTCTAATTCTCTCCATTCTGCTTCCCTCGGAGGGAAGACAAAGTAGTCCATGGTTTGGTTGGGTGAGTGTGGGACTCTCTCTTCTCTGTGCCAAGACTGAATATACCTCAAGTCTCAAAAGTGGGTCTGATCTTCCCTTCCTACCCCAGCAATACCCAAGAGAGGGCTCTACCTGAAGTCCCTCTGCATTAGTAGTAGAGAGGACCATGATCAGAGCATGGTGTCCCTTGCCACCTCTGATTGATTTTCATAGAACCCTTCCCTTGATCCAGATCCAGAGGCAAACACACCTTTCTCCTGCCCTTGACCAGGAAGTTCAGAGCAGTTGGCGGTTCAGCCGAGTAGCCATGATGCCTATGAAATATGTGGGTTTTTCTGTAAGTTCTTTGCAGGAACAGTGGGTGAAAAATCTCTACCCCTGATCATCTAATCAACAAGTGCTGAAAACACAGGAGTGGGGAAAGCTGAGGGCTTGGGCCTCTCAGCCTCAACAGCATGGCTATGTTACGTGACCTCTTCAAGGCAGGATACTGAGCCAGCTCTCTGCTTCATGGCGCAGGATGAAGAACAAGCTGTGGTACTTTGAATTTGGCACCTCAGAGACCTTTGCGGCCACGTGCAAGAAGCTGCATGACCACATAGAGTTGGAGGTGAGTCCTCAGATGGGAGTAAGGCTTCCCTGGACCTCAGTTCTGCTCCTGGACTGTCACACACACACCCTCAGGACATATCCCCTGGGTCCTGAAGAGGTGACCCAGAATGGAGTCCGTTTGTCATATCTCCATTCTGTTCCCAAACACGTCTGCAGCCTCACGCGGACGGGGCTCATCACTGGACCTGCCTTTTTGGGCCTGTCCAGAGAGTCCTTGCAGCTCTGGTGCCTAGAGGTCCATTCCTTTCCTCAGCTCCATCCCCACTGTGGCCTTGCAATTGCCCCTTTGCAGAGAGGTGAACACTCAGTGGTCGCCGGCACAGGAAGACAAACTGCTGGTGGGGAGAGGCAATGTCCCAAGGCTGGTAAAAGCCTGGGAGCTGACAGCACAGGGCAGACACCCCCCAGCTCACTCCACCCCCGCTGTCACAGCTGCTTCAAAGAGCCGACTCAGAGGTACCCCAGGTCAGCTTCGTGGGCGTGCAACCTGTGCAGCTGCTCAGAAGGGCCCTCAGGTCAATCAATGCTCTTCTGTCACCATCTTGAAATTCTTGAAGACTTTTTAACAAAGAGCCCTGCCTTTTCATGTTGACCTGGGCCCCTCAAATTACGCGGCTGATCCTGTCGCTAACTCTTGCAGCACTTTTAGCAGCCTGCCTCAGTTTGCCTGAGGCTTCTCTACCAAGGTTCCTAAGCTGCCTGCCTCCCACCCGCTCTCTCTACTCCTGCTGGGCTCCCCTCAGAAGTCTCTTCACCACTCTGCGAGGGCTTCCCCGGTCTCCGGCCACCTGAAAGCCCAAATGTCTGCACACCAGCTTGCCTCAGCTCTGTGGCTCCTCAGGCCAGTGGTTCCCTTGCCCATGGTTCTCAGCTACCACACTACCTTCCCGTGGGATTCAGGCCTGTCGCCCTGTTCCTACTTGAGAAAAGCAAGTGAAAGAGGCAGCCAAAGAGTTCAGCCAGGGTGGGCCTCCCCTGGCCCACCAGCTTTGTCTCTAGGCCTGAATTAGCAGTCAAGTTGGGCCCGGGCACCCCTTTGAGGAGGAGCATTTGGCCTAAAGCAGTGTGGGAAAGCCCCACTGTTCCCTATGGAAGGCAGCCTGTGCGCACAGGGAGTTTTCACAAACAAAACACAAAGCCAGAGATCCTGTGCTTCTCTTTGACTCATCTGCCTGCCTCTCCCCTCCGGTTGCTGGGTTACCAATCCCAGGGTGGGAGGAGCTGGTCAGGGCTAATCCCTAGAATTTTTGGCCAGCTCAGGGCTCTGTCGGAGAGCAGAAAGGCCCAGGAGCCAGGGCTTTGTGTCCCAGGTGGGACCAGCTGCCCCTGGGAGAGGCTGAGGAGCTAGCCCACCTCTCTGAATCCACTGCCTGGGAGGGAGTTCCAGAGAAGCAGGATGGGGCTGGGTTTGGAGCCTGAGCCCGGCCAACAGAAATGTGTGTGCATTTCTCCCATTGGCATGATCGCCTGGTGGGGTCTCTTTAAATATACCCCAAGTGAGGGACAGCCCCGGCCTAACCACTGCCAGCTGCAGGCACACAGCAACTGCTTGTTCTCCCTGCAGCTGGCCTTGAAACTGTGCCCAGAATAGAGCAGCTCTGCTCCCCTGTCTCTGCAGCTCGCCCTCCTGGCTGCTGGCTCCCTCTGGGGCCAAGACACAACAAGGGCTCCTCCTCAACCACACAAGGGGCTAGTGGCCTCCCTGCAAAAGATGCCAGTGACCTCTGGACGGGGTGGGATTGTTCACGCTGTGGGCTCTTGGGGACTTTGGGGAGCATTTCCTGTTTTCCTTATCTACCCATAATGAGTCTTTTTAGCATTTATTCATGGGGGGGGGTCATGTGACAGGCAGCTTCTAACACCCACAGGACTGGGGCCGGCACCATTTTTCCATCCAGAGAGCAGTGGGTGGACGGTCCTGTGTCTTGTGATCCAGAGGGGGGACAGAGAGACAGAAGAGGGCATGGCATGTGAGGGATGGGGTTGTCCTGATGTGAGAGCATCAGGGGCCTTGGGGAGAGCAGCGAGAGAGGCTGGCTAAGTGACCTGCTAAATGTGGCCGCTACACACAACAGCCCACGCCCATGAGGGCTAGCACACTCATCAGTTCAAGGTCAGTGACCCCAAGAATAACTGCATACAGGTGTTTATACTACCCATCACCACTCTCAAAGCCCTAGCTCAGCTTTTATTGCATCGTCACACAGCAACCCTATGTGCTGCGTAGGTCAGGTGTTATTATTCCCATTTCATGGAAAAGCAAGCTGAGACACAGAACGTTAGGAGGGTAAACGGAAAAGCATAAAGGGAAGAGGAAAAAGTCACATGCTTCAGCTGCCTACCATAATGTGTCCTCATTTGACACAATAACCCAGTGAGGCAAATATCATCACTTTTTTAAAACAGTGTTTGTTTATTTTTGAGAGAGCACAAGCAAGGAAGGGAGAGGGAGACACAGAATCCGAAGCAGGCTCCAGGCTCTGAGCTGTCAGCAGGGAGCCCAACGCGGGGCTGGAAACTCAACGAACCATGAGATCATGACCTGAGCCAAAGTTGAACGCTTAACCAATTGAGCTAGGCAGGTGCCCCTCATCACATGTTTCTAAGTAGAGAAACTGAAGCTCAGATACATCAAGTAACTTGACTAAGATTCTGTTGCTGGAAACTGGTAAGAGAAAACATTTGAGGGCTCCTGGAATGAGTTTAGTTTGAACCCAGTAGAGATTTACCTTAACAGTGCCAGAAACTCAGTGAATTCTTCAGCATAGATACAGCTTTTTCCTCCTTTGCTGAATGTGGGCCCATTTGGTCCCATCTCTGCTGAGGCAGCCAGGTGGGTCTGCTGAGAAATGCTTTAAAACAACAGGAGACACAGTCCTAACCTGCTCGTTTGGGGAAAGGAGTCCGTTCCCGCTGGACCACAGGAGAGTCAGGGCTCTGCCTTAAAGTTTACAGAACGCTTTCCCATGCTGCATCTCATTTTATTTTGATCCATCAAATGCTGAGGGCAAATATTCACATCTTTATGCGTCAGGAAGCTGAGGCAACTTGAGAAACAGCATACACTGCTAGGGGTTGAGGGGAACAGATAGTAAAGTCTATGTAGTTGCTGTGTGTGTGTGTGTGTGTGTGTGAGAGAGAGAGAGAGAGAGAGAGAGAGAGAGAGAGACACGCTGGTAAAAATCGGGGTGGTAAGACTTTAAAACTAACCTGAGATTACGCAGGGAAGGTCTCCATTAAAAGCCTCTCACAGGCAATACCACCTGCTTCTCTGAGGCTAGTGGCTTGTTGAGAAGGACTAAGAGGCTTCGTTGCTTCTCTGGAAGCTTACAGCCCAGTTGACAGCTGGTTAATATAGTATACTCACTTAACTAGTGCTAAGGAAATTAGATCCAGGAGTCCTGGGGAACCACGCGAGCCAGATCACTCTAGATGCTGTTTTGAGCTGCTCAAAGACTCGGGCCGGGGAGAAGGTAATGCTAGATCTCCCGCTTATCTGTGGACACTCAGCCAGGGCAGGCGCAGTGAAAGGCACCTGGCCCGGACACGTAAGACCAGGAAGTTAGCCCAGCTCTGTAATTAGGTCAAGAATTTGTTGAACAGTGTGTCTGGGCCTCAGTATTCTTATCTATAAAATGGGGAGAAGGGGTTAGGCTATTTCTCAAAGCTATTATCCAGATTAAAATTTTCATGTTTGTTTTTTTTAAAAACTAGCAACAGAGCCAAGTGCCTCCCAGAATCTGCAAAGCAGCCCTGAGTGGCAGGTGTCGTCACCTTTCCAGAGTAGGGGATAAAAGCTGAGAGAAGGCAAGGGGCTCCCTTGAGGTCTACAGCCTCTGGATGGTCAGGTCAGGTTTCCAAATCCAGATTTGCCCAAAACCCAGGACTTTCAAGGCAGTACTTGTACTTCGAGTTTATAACCCAGATTCTCAGCTAGGTGTGGGGCATGTGTGATCTCCTTTTATTCACACGCTTTTATTTATTTTAACATTTCAGATAGCATTAAAAGTAGGCATGAGATTGTTTACCTTTATCAAAAAGAGAACATATCAAATATTGCAAATGCTCGCTCTAAATGCTTCCTTTCCGGCAACTATGAACACTAGTGTTCTTCCTGGAAAATAGGTGCTCTGTAAATTGTGGCTGACACTAATTAGGAAGCCAGCATGTCACCCACATGACTGTCATCATCCCTGGTCTCAGACTGCTCTGACTTCTCTTCCCTCCCAAAATGCCATGAAGGTTCATTTTAATCTGATTTCACCTGAATAAACAGATAGGGGCTGGGGTGAGGGAGGGACACAGTGAGTCACCTCCCCCACCCCAGGCCCAGAATAGCTTTGGAAAGGTTTTTAGACGTGATCATAGCTAGGTGGAGCCAACCAGGCAGGCTTCAACTCGAGCACTTATTTTACATGCTGTGGAAATTTTTCATTTTACTGGCTAAAAATAAGAACTTCCAAAATTCCTTGATATTTTATCTACTTTAAAACAATGTTCACAAGGGAAGGCTAGCTGGCTCCACTAATATGAATTTCTGCATGGGGAAAAGTGAATCCAAATTTGGAAGCTGCTCAAAAAAAATGTTATCCAGTATATTTTGGGAATCGGCACATCAATTCCCCCCCACACCCCACAACGTTTAATTGAGGATTTTTAAAAATGCAACAAAGTCTTGGGAACAATATATCAAATACTCCCATTTCCTCCCTTCACTTAGAAATATTTGTCAATATTTTGTTTTATTCCCCTTAAGTACGTTTTAATCAAAGGAATAAACTATTACAGATAGACGGGGCACCTGGGTGGCTCAGTTGGTTGGGCGTCCGACTTTGGCTCAGGTCATGATCTTGTAGTTCATGAATTCGAGCCCCTCATTGGGCTCTATGCTGACAGCTCAGAGCCTGGAGCCTGCTTTGGATTCTGTGTCTCCTTCTCTCTCTGCCCCTCCCCTGCTCATGCTCTGTCTCTCTCTCTCTCAGAAATAAACATTAAACAAATTTAAAATAAAATATTACAGATAGAATTGAGTTCCCCCACAATCCCTTTGTGCCCTGCAACTTGCCTTTTTCACTCACCACGATGTTCCTGAGATCTCCCTATGCTGATGCTGATAGAGCCAGTTGGCTACTTTTAACATCTCTGTGGTCTCTGCACCCCGTCCCACCCCACCCCCTCATCGCCCCCACCCCCAGAGATGGGGAGGAAGAGCAGAAGTGGGAACCTTAGCTGCTGCCATTGAAATGCAGGTGGTGACCATTTGCCCAAGGGGTTTAGCCATATACACTGCACTGAAAACATACTTGTAGACCATAGGACCCAGCAACCCAGACCTAGAGAATTTCCCACACGTGCTAAGCAAGCACAGAGGCACAGTGCAGCATTTCGTTATTAGAACAAAATGGAACCCACCCAAATGACTGTGTTCTTCTAACACGTTGAAAAGACAGTGTGAGTGGAAATACTAAATGCCACTGAATTATACACTTGCAAATGGTTAATTCTGTCTTTTGTGAATTTCATCTCAATTTTTTAAACATTTAATTTTACAAAAGGGAGCATGCTGGGCACTGTGGTACGGATAGCTGATCCTCCCCATGGTATGGGCCTTGTCTGTGAGAGTCCTGAATTCGAAAACTGACATCTAGGACAGCCATGTACATGCAAAGGAGCTAATAAACAGTGCATCAGGTTATTTTAAAACTGGGCAGATACCTGTAGCTACTCCAGTCCAATCAGGTGCCATTAGTTTTCAAAAGAGAGAAATCAAGGACTTTATAGGTTAAGTAGCTTGGTCAAGCTCACCCGGGGCCAGTTAGGTGGCACAAGTCTGACTGGGGGCATCCTTACTCTGCCTCAGTTCCACTTACAATGTAACACACTCTTCAATGAGAGGGGAAGAAATCTACAAGCACTGTGGCCTCTTCTGGCATTCAAACCTTCTCAGTGTGGGCATAGAGAGCTCTTCAGAGCTTGGAGTAATGAAGGTAGGAACTGGCCAAACGCTCAGCCCATCAGCCCAGCTACAAATCCAAGGGAGATGAAATGAAAACATGCTCCCAGGGAAAGGAGAGGTGAGAAGAGCATTCAAAAGGGATTTTAAATTCCTGGAAAATGAAAAAGTGGCAGTCTGATTACACATTAAGCCTTAGAGTCAAAGGAAGGCTGCAGTGGGCCTTAGCGAGACATCCTCCTTCTGGTCTGCTCCCTTCCTTGGTCAAGGCCAGTGTGGCTCCATCACTCCAGCACCATCCTCACGGTAAGACCATCCAAGGCAGCTCTGGCCGCCTCACATTCCTTCCTGACCATTGCCCTGTCCTCACCACTGTTGGTGTCCCTACCTCAGTTCCTTCCTGCTAGGAGGGCAGTTCTTCTCCTGACTGTAAAAGTAACCCAAATTCACGGTTGCCCTTGAAACTACAGAGGGACAGAAGAGAAAAGCAGCCCACAATCTCAGCAGTCAGCTCAGCACTGTTATAATGCAGGCCTTGTTTTAACCCTGTAAGAATACAGCTTTTGTTTCTTTAAAATCAGGATTCTAGGGGCACCTGAGTGGCTCAGTGAGTTGTGTCTGACTTCCGCTCAAGCCATGATCTCACAGTTCGTGGGTTCAAGCCCCGTGTCAGGCTCTGTGCTGACAGTTCAGAGCCTGGAGCCTGCTTTGAATTCTTTGTCTCCCTCTCTTTCTGCCCTTTCACCCTCCCTCTCAAAAATAAGTAAACATTTTAAAGAAATGTTCTTTTATCAAGATTCTAGAGGGACCTCTATGACTCTTTGATTTCTTACGTCTTTACCCACTTTTCAACACGGCTCCATCCTCCCTCTCTGCCTCTTTCAGCCATGTACTGGCTACAGGTTTCCTTCACTGACCCTTAAAATCTTTCAGCCGAATAAGAAGAAATGATTTCTGTCAGTTTTCTCATACAGCATCCTACTGTTTGCTTGCAGTTTCAGCCACGTAACTTTTTCCCTCTCTTAAACATCCCCATCCATTTTTCATCTCCCACAAATGTGTACCCTATATTTCACTTTAAGCCTCCATTCATCCATATGCTTTTATTTTCTTGTTCTTTTCCACTTCCTTTGTTCTTTTTGAATTGCTTTGATTTTCTTTGTCTGCAGACTCCTGGCTATACATATTTTGTGTCTTCCAAGGACCTTGGAATAACTTTTAAGGATGCATTCTCAGTGCGTACTTTTACACAGCGGTGGGAGACACAAAGCACAGTGGCTAGATTAGGCCCTCCGTGGTCTCAGATGACCCGGGTTGGGGTTGTGTGGCAGTGTGTCCGGTTAGGAGGCACCCCCACGAAGGATTGGGCTGGGCTAACCTCTGCCCTAGGGAGCTTAATTTTTCTACCACCAGGGCCCTTAGTGAAAGAGTAACTTCCCTAAGCCAGGTCTACAAGCAAATGCATCTTCTAAGTGATGATCAACTGTGAGCTTCTATCAGTGGGAAATGTATCACTTCTCTTAGACCTTTTAGAATATTGAGAAGAATTCACCATCTTCGTCTCCACACTTGGGAGATTCAAGAACCTCAGGGAACAGAAGTATTCCAGTCTTTTCCTGCTTCTACCACTGGTTTATGTAACAGACAGGGAATATTACAGAGAATATCACAACAGACAGAATATACAGATGTGACCTATTGGCCCTTAGCTGTCTTAGGGAGGTCATAAACTTGCTGATCCTTGTCCGCTACAGAAGAGGAATTAAGAAGGTAGAAGAACTGACTCTTTCTGGAAGGGTATATACTCTAACGAAGGATCAGATAAATACCCTGTGCACGCATTCATGTTATATCTCAACTGTGTGAAGCAAGGACTCTGTCTTACCGATTCTGTATCCCCAGGCCTAGCCCAGTGCCTGAAATGCTCTATAGTCATTGCTCTATAGCTATTACTTATAAAATTGAACCAAAGTGTGAAAAAAAATCCCATAATTAGCATAAACACTATTAGAAATGACCACTTGACCAGCCTCAAGTGATACCTTCTTGTTGGAAGCCACCAGAATAAAAGGGACCCACCTTGCTACATCTGAAACACAAAGGGGGAGGTGGCTGAGCTTGCCGCCTGGCACTTGGGCCTTCTAACTGCCTTGAGTGGGACGTCCTCCCACACCCATCCCTGAGCTGTTGCTGGGACCTCTGAAAGTAGCAGAGGGTCTGAGACAACTGTCAACCCAGGGCAGGAAATGCCAGAGTTCTCCCACTTCTTTCCCACCGAAGAGAGTTAAGACAGTGAGTGGGCAGAGCCCCTGTAGCAGTCAGGGTGCCGGGCAGCCGTGGCATCAGAGGAAGTGTCTCTGAAAGGCAGCGGAAGGGTCTCCATTCGGAGCCCTCTCTTCTGGCCCAGAAACCTACCTGCCCCTGGGCCCTGCCTGTCTCCACGACAGTTGGCCCTGCTCTGTCCGCCAGAAAGCCGGGCCCTTCAGAAAGCCCTATTCACCCCAAGTTGGCCTGAGCAACACAGACGGCGAAACCTGTTCATCTGTATTCAGAGCAAGAGCGCCTCAATACACCAGTTTTGGGTTGTTTTGTTTTGTTTTGTTTTGTTTTGTTTTGTTTTTTAACTCGGGGAGGGTGGAGTAGTGTATAAGAAATGGCTTTGCCTTCTGTCCGACTCTGAGGCAACCCACCACCATGAGCTCTGAGAAACAGCAGTTTTGTTTTGGAAACTGGCACCCAGCGCAGGCTCGCTCCTGGAAATGAATTTGGTACCCCCCCCCCCCCAGCTGCAATGTTCTACTTCCATCCTCCGTGCCAACACCCCCTTCCAGCTGCCCCTCTCAAAGGCACCATTGTGCCCGCCTGGCACAGCAACAGAGGAGGGCTGAAGAGGAAGAAAACATTTTCTGCCCATGGGATGTTCTTAAGCAGGTTGTGTGTACACGGCTTCAGTGCTGCATTCCTTGAGCCCACACAAACCCGCCAAAACCCCATCATGCCTGTCACAGCTGGCAGCCAGTTTCCAGTCTATCTGGCCCACCACAGCTCACTGTCAGAGAACACAGAGCACGCAGCTGGGTGGGTGAAGCCGGTGGGAGGGGGGTCATGAAGACACGGCCTGCCAAAGCCAGGCTGAACGGAGACTCTGAACTGGAAAGGGATTTAGTCCTATTTACAGTGCAACAAAAAGATTCATTCTGGCATATTCTGATACGTGCACATCCAGCCTCTTCCTGGGTACTCCAAGGATGGGAAGCTCATTACTTTTCCTGAAACCCTGTTCCACTGCTGGACAGCTCGGAGTTTCAGAAAGTTCTTCCCAGTGTGGAACAAGGACGTGTGTCCTTTTCATCGCCATATCCTCCACCGTCAGCGCTTAGCACGATGCTTGGAACAAAACAGGTGCACAATAAGTGTTTTTGGGATGCATGACTGAGTTCTCCATCCATCCATTGGGCCTATTTCTGGCCTCTGGTGGCACATTAGAACATTCCTTCTTGTTCCTCCATGTGCCTGCCCTTCATACGGCCGAAGATCTATCTTCCACATCATCTCTTATCTCCACTGAGCTAAACATCACCCTCTCCTCATGTGACTCAGCACAGACCCATGACTATCCTGACCACTCTTCCTTTGATAGACTCCACTTTTTCCAGTGTCCCCCTTAAAATGAAGGCTTCAATCCCACATATCTAGAATACTCAAGAAGTGGTCTTATAGGTATCAAAGCACAAGGTTAACAGCATCAGGTAGATGCTGTCTAAGTTGGACTGTCTCTTAAGCTGATTGCATTTCATGCAGGAAATCTTCAGGCCTGTGAAGCCTACCACGAACCTGGATAAATTCAGAAAAGAAGGACCTTCCTTAGTTTCACTGAGTCCATGTTTCCTCATCTGTAAAAATGAGGAGACAAATACCATCAATGCAGGGTTGCAAGGATTAGACATAAGATATATGAAGTGCTTGGCTCATAACAGTTACTCAGTAACTGTTATATACCTGAATATTACCATAACACTGAATGCAGGGAAAGCCATGTCCTGTAAGATTTACCCACATGCAAGGCTTTTTTTTTTTTTTTTTAATGTAGATAGTACTAGACTATCTTTCCAATAATGTTCTCACCCCTCATTCACATCACTCAATTTATCACCTTTTCTTCCCTTGGGATACATATCAGCTTATTGACGCTAAAAATACTCTCTTTAGAGCTTTTCTGGGGAAAACAGGGATCCTTGTTTGCCCTGGCTGCTTTTCTTTCACTCCCAATAAATGTCTCTGTTCTGGCCATAGGCCCCGGAGATATGCAGATAACTCCTTCCTTCTCAGTGATGTGCTCAGCTTGCTTGCTGGCACATCGGTTCCAACCCCACTTTCAGTGACGTCACGTTGGTAGCTTAAAATTGGCCGTAGTGGGAGTATTTATACCATGCAACACCACAATCAGAGCGGCTGCTGCTTTTTTTTTTTTTTTCCTTTTTTCTTTTCTGGAGATCCTGCTGTTAAGCATTCAGCAGCACACCACTGCCTCTAGCATTGACCTGCTGTGAGCACCTTGAAGACAAGGACTGTGTCCCATATCTGCTCCATCCCCCAGGGTCTAGCACAGAGTAAGTGGGTTTTCATCATTCTTGATAGATGAGTAAATGCTTTTGTCTTCTGTCTCTTAATGTCTCTCTCATGTAAATCATGCCCCATGTGCCCTATTCTTGTTACAAGCTGTTCAGCTATGGATTTCCCTCAGCTGTGATCAGAGGACTACCTCTTTCGGACTTGGATTAACATTCCTTATCTCTCCCTCACCTGGACATTCAAATGTCCACTTTATTCGCTCAATACATTCATCCTTGGAAGTTGTGGAAATTCGTCCAGAAGGAAAGAAACCTTGTCAGGTTTCTTTAAAGAACACGTTGCTTTCCATTTCGGGATTTCTCCACACATTCTTTCTTTCAATTAACAAATAGTTCTACTGGACATCTAATGTGGGGAAGGCATGCCAGGTACTGTGGAAAACATAGAGCTGTGCAGCATATGGCCCCTATCCTCTGGGAGCAGGGACGGGTGAATAATACATAGCAGAATATATATTCCACATTTGAGAGAAAAACAAAGCAATGAAAATTCAGAGAAGGAAAAGATCAGTTTCTACCTAGAACATTGGGAAAACCTTACAGAAGAGATAGGTTTTGAGCTGGAAAGGTAGGGTTTTAATGGGCTTAAAAGAGGTAACTGGCAGTTTGGGGAATGAGTACAGAAATAAAAGCAGGTAGGCCCAACTCTGTGGCCTATGTGCAGACCAGTTTCGGCTACCACAACTGGCCTTGGCTAGGGTCCAGCTCACCCTCTTCCTCAGCAACTTTCTTATTTTCAAACCAAAGGACACTTTGGATAAGTGCCTAGCCTTCCCCATAGTTTAACTTACATTCCAACCTGCCAAGCCAATTCACAGAACACCCTCCCCACCTACCAGCACAGAAATGTTCTTACCATAAATGACCACACCCTTATTCTTACCTGGGCCCTACAGGACAATGGAACTATACAGGGTGGTATGGATGCTTTCTTTTTGCCTAATGCCTGTCAGCATCCCGTTCACTCAAGAAAGGGGGTGGAAGATCTCAGTCAGGTCTTTATGTCAGCCAACCGTCTGCCCTTGAGTGTATATCTGAGGCTCCAATGTAGAGCCTCAGCATCAAGTGAGGCCACCATCTCCTCCAGCCCATTCCCCTCTCAGGCTTCAGAACCTATTCAAGTGTGTCTGGATATCGCCCACCTCTTCCTCAGCCCTCTTTCTTCCTCCCCACTATAACTGAAATATTGTTTTCCCTAGACATTGCCCAGTACTTCCCTACTTCACCTTTCAAAAGACCCCCCCACCCCCATTTCTCACTCAGTAGGGTAGGAAAGCACTCTAGTATCATCCCCAAACCAATGTTCCACACCTCTCTTCCACTCCATCTACTTCCACCCTACTTCCACTCCCAACATCTTCCTCCCTGTGTGCATTTATCCAACATGTATTCACTATCTTCTCTACCTCAAACATCCATGGAAACCCTTCTCCTCAGTCATATTACTCTTTAGATCCCATCTTCTGTCTCCAGCCTCATTTGCCCCCAAACCACATGGCTGTTCTGACTCTGTTCCCTCTACCCCTACCCACCCTACAGTCCCTAGTTAAGCCCTAGCTCTTACAGGAGTTGGCTGTGTAATCTAGAAAGGTCACTTACCAACTCTATACCTCATTGTTCTCATTTTGTAATTAGAGATTACCAAATCTGATATTCCATCTAGCTTTACCATTCTAGGATTCTGTGCTTAGGCCCTCACCCAGCTGCCAAAATCCCTCTTTACAAAATCCCTCACGACCTCTCGGTTGCTAATCCAGATGACCAAAAGTCTAATGTCAGATCTGCTGATTTCTGATCAGCCATGTGACATTGGGCCATTCCAATTTAACTTCTGTTTTTCTCATCTATGAAATGAAGTGACTGGACTGAATGACCCTTTAAAACTCTGATTCCGTGAGAACACAGACTCAGAGTAGAGAGAGAGAGAGATGTCCTTTTTGGAGAGTGGACAGGGAAGAATTCATGGAGAAAATGACATTTGTAGAAATTCCATAGAAGAGCACAGAAGGGGTACTAGGGTGTCCTCAAGGGTATCCTTTCACTAAGGGACTATAATAATGGGTCTAGACAAGGCATCATGCACTAATTAAAAGCTCTGTAACGGAAGATTCAGGTTGACCACACTGCAACCCAGTAACCAAGCTGAACATCACACACGCAAAAAAAAAAAAAAAAAAAAGAGAGAGACAAGCAAAACTATAACCTCCTAATGAGATGCACTAGGAAATACCCCCACTGATAGAGTAGTCTTGCCAAAAAGTGAACTCAAGATCAAATGTACTCAAATTTTCAACTTTTAATTAATTACTTCGCTCCGATTTAAAATGTCAACTTTGAATCTGATCAAGCCTCTATACCTGTAAGTACCAGTATAATGGACATACAGGAGATAAACTGGGAATATGCTTAAAAGACATCTCAGATATGCAATCAGCAAAATCCAGAATCTGGGAAATGTTATAGCCTTACTTCTCCAAGTGTGGTCCCTCACACCAGCATCAGGATGGGGGGTGGGGGGAAGGGGCACATGGAGATGCAGCCTCAGGCCCCACCTCAGATCTCCTGAGTCATAATCTGCATTTCAATAATCCTAAAGTGATTTGTATGCACAATTGGCCCCTTTCCTTCTATAAATATTAAAATATAAGGAAAAAGGGACAGGGGATTTATAGATCAAAAGATCCCTAAGAGACATAATAAAACAAATCTGTAGACTTTTTAGACAAGCCAGTTATTTTTAACAATGAGATTATCAAGGAAAATTGAACTACTGGATATATATTGGCATTAAAGAATTGTTACTTTTTAAGATAATAATATTGGGGTACTTTTTTTTAAGACTCGTCATTTAAGATAATATAGACGTATTTATAGAGGAAATGATAGACTATCAAGAGTTTCCTATAAAAGAATTCAGTATGGTGATGGGGAAATGAACTGGGGCAGGGTTAAATCAAGATTTAACTGTGAGTTGCTAATTGCTGAGGTGAGATTTGGGGTACATGGGATTTCTTATTCTCTCTACTTTCCTATGTACTTAAAAAAACCCACAGTAAGATTTAAAAAGAAAGACTAAGAAAGAGTCCTCAAAGATGGGAGGGACAAATCAAGATAAGGCCATGGCAGGGAACAAGAAAGAATTTCAAGCCTAATGGGGACATCCGCCCAGAGTCACCGAGGCCTGGGTTACATCTCGGATCTGGCCTGGGAGGGGTCATTCCAAAGAGCAGACAGACATAGCCCAACCAACCGCAAGAGGATGAAACAAAACAATCTGCGTTCTAAAGCAGAAAAATTCGACGTAATCCCTGGCACCGTGAATCGAGGTTAGAAGAAGGGAGAATTTCCTAGCTGCTAAAAACTGAAACAGGTCATCAAGTAAATTATGGGATCTCCTTCTCTGAGGACCTTCAGAAATAGGATCGACAGGGCTGAAATGGAGGCGGCCTCGCTCATTGGGGAGGAGGTTCAGATCCGCCGCCTTTTTCAGGTCAACGAGGCCGGCAGGCACTGGGGCGCGGAAAAGCCCTCAGCCGGGGCAGGGATGTATCAATGGCTCCCTCGTCTCCTCGGTTCTCGGCCCCTGTGGGGGCGCATGGAGATTTTGGCGGGTGCTAGTTCTGCCCAGAATGATGGGGATTTTAGGGATCCAAGAGATCAAGGCCGGGGGGTGGGGGGAGGGGGGCATAAGGCGGTTGGGAGGGACAGATGAAAACGTATTCGCAGTGCTTTGCATTTGCACGGAAGCGCGCGCCCCTGCTTCCTAACCCAGCCTTCTGGTGACTTACGCACTAGCCCTCCGCCAAACCGACCAAGCCCGGCTCACAATGAAACCAGAACTGCGGGTATAGTCTTCGCAAGGGAGGCAACGTTAAACGTGGCCGACAGCTGCTGGCCGGCGCAGTCCGGCCTGGGAGGAGGCAGGCGCGGACTGCTCCGGGCCGGGATTCCGGCAGATTCCTGAACCGCTTCCAAAGGCGCAGGAGCCGAGCTGGCCTCGAAGCTCCCCGCCCCACCCCGTGCCTGCAGCGCCGCCGCCGCGGACCCAGGCAGCCCGCCGTCCCAGTGTGACTGTGAGCACGACTTCGGGCGTGTGCGCGCTCGCCGCCGGGGACAAGAGCTCTCTGTTTCGGCCCCAGAGCAGGCTATAAATATCTGGGTTCAGCGCAGCCTCGGCTTGGGGGGCAGCCTGGTAGCCCAGTCCTAGGTTAGGGAAGGCTAAAGTGTGCGCAGGGACCGCCGCCCTCCTTGCGCTCTCGCCTGAAACCCCTGGGCAGAAGCATGGGGGAGGGGGCCCGATGACGTCATGGAACTGGCGGAGGATTTAGCTCAGGAACCCTCCCGGGAGCAGCCCGGGGCCGGGCCGATGTTCTATTTAAGCCGACAGTGTACCACCCTCAGCTCCACTTTCCCAAATCCGACACCACCGTAGCTTTCCACTTTTCCCAAGACCTCCGTGGGTTTGGGGTTCTGGAAGAAATCAGTGTGATGTCTAGGCCAAGAACCCCAGGGAATGGATTTGCAGGTATGGGCTGGCAAGGCCCTCCCAAGCTTGGGTTGGCCCAAGAGGCCATTAAAATTCTTCTAGCAAGGTCTCAGGTAGGAAGACAATGATTTCAGGCTGAAATATGCCTCGTGGCACAGGTAATAGTATTAACTGTAATAATAACGTAGACAGTTGTGGAATGCTACTGCCTTCCAGAGACCAACCAAACCCTTAAAGTAGAAGTTATTCCACCACCACAACCCCATTTTACAGACGGCAGACTAAAGCTCCAAGAAGTTAAGGAACCATCGCAGGATCACACAGCCGCCAACATCAGATCCAAGATTTAAATCCATATCTCTTTGTCTTCAAGCCTAGGTGAGCTCATACCAAGACCCTGCATTGCTTCTCAGTTTTCAAATAGGTGCATTCCAAAGGTGGGGGCAGCAACAGCCTCTTCCTCCCCCCCCCCCCCAGCTCCTCCCATTTCTTCTCTTTGTCCCAGTCTGCCTATGACCCAAGACATAATGGGGGAAGGAGACAATCTATCAGAAAGCAGAGGGAGGACTCTTTGCTCTTCTGGAGAGAGGTTAACAACTTACCAAGTTAATAGCTAACCTTTCTAGCTGGTTATGACTGGAGATAGAGGGGACAGGGTACACTTAAAACTTTAGTAGGGAAAAAAGATGACTTTGTGGAATATGATGTGCCAAGGGCTGTGCTGTTCTAGTGGTATACTTTTTTTTTTTTTTTTTTTAACAAAGCTGGCGCAGAGGCAAGATCTAATACTGATATCCAACATCGATGTGCCGGGCACTGCTCTAAGTACTCCGCAAGACTTAGTGGTGGGAAGATTTCAATTATTCAGACAACAGCTGGAGTTTAATTTTGCTATAAGTCTAGCATCAGCAAAAGTCCTGATTTGCCTCATTGACTCTTTCGTCTCCAGAGTGGGATCTAGCCTCTGACTGCCTGGGTTTGCATCGTAGCTCTGCCAGCTTAGAGAGGGGGCAAGTTTGTGTAGACTTGAGCACGCTCCTTAACCCCTGTAAGGCCCCGTCATTTGGGGGTAGTGGTGCCATGAGGATCCCAAGAGACTGCAGGGAAAGGACCAGACACTGTCCAAGGAAGCTCTTGCCAAACATGAGCTGCTAATACTATTATTATCACCCCTGGAAGGGAAGGGGCATTTTAACCAACAATAAGTACATCGAGATGATGTGAAAGTAACTACAACCAAGAAGGAAAGTGACCATTTTGTCTCAGAGGTGTTATGGACACAGGAAGACAGTGTTGCACCACAGCATTGAAGCCGTGCTTCATAGAATTTGGGGAAAAATCTGACCCAGTGGGATTTTAGCCTAAATCCTTAAATAAGAATGTATATATAATGGATGGAAAGATAGAAGAGATTCCAAAATAAATTTTGAACAAATCATTAATTCTATTGGGAAGAAAAAGGATGAGTTTTAAAAATAACCATGACAGTAACAGAGAGCTCTGGGCTGAGCCGATGCTTTCAGGGGACTGCACACATACGTGCAAAAGCAGAGTGTGGGCATGCAACCAGGTGTGAATGCACAAAAGCAACTCAACTTGAAGTTGAAGGCCAAGCAGAATGTTAGACAATGTTTGAAACACAAAAGAACATGGAAAGGATGGCTCATTAGGACTTTGCCTACAAAAGAGTTTTTATCTTTTTCAAGAGAGAGTAGCCCTGACAAAAATTGGAAGACCGGGTGGTAAAGGTAGCAGAGCCTGAGGTAGAGCAATAGAGAACTAAGTAGCCTTGGAAAACACACACTCTAGAATCCAAGTTGCTGGACAAACCTACATACATGTCTTTCAGGGGTCACTTTGACAAATCTACAAAACAGAGTGGGATTGATCCAATGAGAGGCAAATGGACAAATGTCCCAGTTTTTTAAAAAAAGTAGAAAAGGAGACATCCCAGTCCCTGGCAAGTTTCTAGAATAAATTATTTTTTTTTTCCTTTTTATTTTATTTTATTTTTTTTTTGTTTTGTTTTTTTTCTAGAATAAATTATTAACCAACAATTTGCCCTTTGCACACAGATATTAGTGATTTAATATGAGTCCTCTTATTCCTTTTCTGGTAGAAGTTGCAGGGTGGTCATTTAGGAAATGCCATTGGATCTCAGCACAGTCTTGATGCTTTAGTGGAGAAAACATAGGGTTGAGGTCTGGAAACCTGGATACTAAATTGGCTCCCTGATTAGTAAGCTGAGTGACCACCTACAGGTTCCTAAACCTCTCTGACCCTCATTTATGAAAGATAGGACATGTTCTTTTAAGGAACTCTCATTTTTAATATCTGTGATTCTACATTGTAATGAAAAGTAGACTGACAGTCCAGTCCAGAGGATGTAGTCCCAGTCGGGCAGCCACACCTCAAGGGCTGTTTAATGCAGTGTCAGCTGTCTTAAATGACCAAGAAGAGGGCTTGGTCCCTGTTTTTACCCTTTATAGATATGTTTTAACAACTTAATCCCCCAAGTGATAGGAAGGCTATGGGGTCATAGAATGAGGATTTAAAATAAACTAGATGGACAGAGAGGTCTTAGGCTAAGTACCAGATGAAATTGATTGACATAAATGTAAAGCCCTATGTCTAAGTTACTTCCGAAATACCTATCTGAGGTGCCTGAGTGGCTCAGTTAGTTAAGCATCTAATTCTTGATTTCAGCTCAGGTCGTGATCTCATGGTTTGTGAGATTGAGCCCTGCATTGGACTCTGCGGTGATGGCATGGATCCTGCTTGGATTCATTATCTCTCTCTTCTCTCTCTCTTTCTCCCTTCCTCCCTCCTTCCCTCCCTCCCTCCCAAAAATAAATAAACTTACCAAAAAAAAAAAAAATACACAAGTTCACAATAGGGAAGAGCTGGCTGAGAAGTAGATAATGGGAGGAGGGTCTGGGTGTCTGAGACGACCACCATTCAAGCTGAAGTGAGTCAGCTGTCATCTAGCTGCTAACAACGGTCATATTTGACAATAAGAATAATGCTAAAGGGGGACTGGGCTTCCCACATTATGTCTTTTCTGGGGAATGAGAGTGTGGGAGGAACCCAGCCCCAGGAAGTGCTCCTGCCATGGCCACCAGTGTGATCAGATCCTGTGATGGGTGTTATTTTTCAGTGCTAGAAGCCATACAGAACAGGAGAGTAACAAATAGTAGTCCACACAGAACGGGGCAACCAGAATGGGGAGAGCCTGAAAACCAGGTCCCACAGAAGGGGCTGAGAGAGTTAACAGTGTTCAACCCAGAGGATGCACAACTAAATGGTGGCGTGAGGGAGGGGCAATAAAGGAGCCCTTAGGACTTGGCCTCTGCCTGCCTGCCATCCAATCTATGTGCTTGCATTTGTACGTTGTGTGACTTTGGGCAAGTTACTTAACCTCTTGTTTGTCTTGTTTCTGCACATATATAGAAAGAGGGGATAGCCAAGTTTATTAAGGGAATACATGAGATGTATACAGAAGCTTACCTGGCAAATGGCAGTGCTTACTATATATGAACAGTGATGATGATGATTGTATCTTGTATCTGGTGGTCTGTCCCCATGGAGGAGGATGGAGGGTCAATCTGTCTGGCTTCAGCAGAGGGAATAGGAGCAGTAGGTAGAAGCAGGAAGAGAATCTGGTTCAACGTAAAGAGACCACCTTTCAAGTAATCAGAACATCCCAGTGAAGAAGTGAGTTTCTGATTACTAGAGAAGCTCACTGCATTCCATTTTGTAGTTGAGGGACTCCTTATCCATGGAGATGATAAGGTGCCATAAATTAAGAGCTTTGAAGAAATCAGGAGGTGAGCAAATATGAATGGCAACAAGCCCAACCTTCCTAGTCCTCCTCTGTTGAGAAATCTCTGGAAGTTTGGATTTGTAGGTAACCGCAAAGACCGTGGATTTTTATTGCATGCTTTTCGTTTTTCCTGCCTCACAATAATAAGATAAAGACCTTGGGCTCTACAGTCAAATTCCCTAACTTTGAATCCTTGATATTTTTATATAATCAGCCATACAACCTTGAATAACTTAGCTCACCTCTCTGGGTCCAGTTTTTTTCCTTCTGTAAATGTAGTAAGCTACCTACCATCCTGAGGAACAAAGATCAGAACTAATATATTTCTTGCTGCATTGGTAAACAGTATGCCAAAAGTAGACCGATTATAGGTATGTGAGACAGGCAGATTCAAGCCTTCTGGCCTTTTGTACCTGGTGGGGGATGTGGGTGGTTGAGACTGGATAAAGAAATTCTGCTACATCAGCAAGCACATACGCCAAAACTGCACTTAAAATGCAGATGTGGGAGACAGGCAAATTCTGAAAGCCTTCCAAATCCTTTTTTCTTCATTATTGTAGTATGGTTGACACACAATGTTACATTCGTTCCAGGTGTACAACATAGTGATTCAACAACCCTATACCTTACGCTGTGTTCGCCACAAACATAGCTACCATCTGTCACCGTACAATGCTATTACAATACCATTGACTGTATTCCCTATGCTGTATCTGAAAGCCTTCCAAGTCTTAAAGTCTTGTGCTTATCACAGGAGGGATAAAATAAGAGGGGGTGAAGTGAACGTCTCTGTCCTTTGTTGAAAATCTATGTGTTAGGTTCTGGGCTCAGTGTCCCAACATATCTTCAAAATGGTTAGGCAGGGACAGAATTGATGATAATGGGGTTGGACTGAAGAACAGATTTGTAGTTGTCTTGTGAATCATCCCTGAAGGCCTCCTAGATCTATAGAGGACCTCTGGGCCCTTCTAGTCCCCAGAGCCAACCAGGATTGCATCTCCCCCAGTCCACTACAGTGGCCAAACCGTTAGACCTTAGCAACTTTGCCCAAGATTCAGCATCTGAGAGAGGCATGCTAGTGGCTGAGGGCCTGTCATGCCCTTCATGAGAGCCCCTACCACACACACACACACACACACACACACACGCACAGCCTTGGTTTGGGATACACTAAGAACACTAACAAATGCCCTTTTCTCCCTCCCCTTCAGTGTGACGGGGTTGGGGTAGACCTGAGCAGCATCTTCCTTGAAGGCATTGCCATTCTCAACATTCCCAGCATGTATGGAGGCACCAATCTCTGGGGAGAAACCAAGAAGAACCGGGCTGTGATACGGGAAAGCAGGAAAGTCATCACTGACCCCAAGGAACTGAAATTCTGCGTCCAAGGTAAGCAAGCAGTGTCCAAGGACATTGCTCTAGGTCAGTGTCCCACTGAGAGGAGTATTCAGGTGAGCCTGTTAGCAAACTGTTTCAGGGCCTACAGCAGGCTCTAGAAGGTCCTACAGCCCAATAAGGACCCATTTGGGACTTTGCTGACTCATCATCCCTGTTGTTGTAAAATCTACCACCTGATTGAGAAGAGAAAATAACAATAAGGGAGCCCTAAATGACAGTCAGTAATCAAACTGGGACTCCGTGAGGTCAGGAGTCAAATACCACTCTCTAGGTTACCCGTGTCCTCCCATAACCAAATCCAATGGTTTTCTCAAACTTGATCTTACTTCACTCACCAGCGGCATTTGACCCAATCTCTCCTTGTTCCTGAAAATACTGTTTACTTGGCTTCTAAGATTCCACACATTCCTGTTTTCCAGATACCTCACTGGTTACCCCTTTTCAGTCTCTTTCACTGACTCCCCATCTCTCTAACCTCTTGGTGCTGGCGGACCACAAGCAAGGGACTCAACCCTCTTTTCTGTCTGTACTCAGTCTCTTGATGACCTCATCGAGGCATGAGACTTTATTTAAATACCACGTGAGCGTCAGTGACTCAGCATATCCAAAACTGAACTCCTGATGTCCCTCCCACAAACCTTCTCCACCCAGAGCCTTCTCCATTTCTATTGATGTTAACTCCATCCTGCCCATTGCTTGAGAGAAAACACTAGACACCATCCTTGACCCCTTTTATTTATCTCACGTCTCATAGCCAACCTATCAGAAAACCTGTTAGCTCTACTTTTAAAAAACAACCAGGGTCTTATCACTTCTCACCACTGCATTTCTGCCACCCTGATCTGAGCTGCCATTCTCTGTCCCCTGGATTACTACAAATCCTCCTAACTGGATTCCTTGCTTCTTCCTCGGCCCTGTAGAGTCTGTTCTCACTATTACATCAGAGCACCCCTGGGAAAATATATCAGATTATGCCACTCTCTGGCTCAAAATCCTGCAGTGGCTCAGAGCAAAAGCCAAAGATCTATATGTGGCCTAAAGGGCCCTAAATGGTCTGGCCTCATGTTACCTCAGCGATTTCATCTGCTACTACTCTCCCCCTCAGCCCTCTGCTTCTGCCACCCTGGCTCCTCTGACACAGCAGGTTGCTTCTATGGACTGACTGTTCTTTTTGACCAGAGAAACTGGATAGTATGCCTTAGAAGCCATCAACTGGACCTTCCCCTATTAAACCACCAGGATACAGAACACACTTTCATCCCTACCCCTTACCAGCCATTTCTACCAATGAACCAAGTGGGAACTCAATCAGAGTACCTGGATAGCTCTGAATCCTCTGTGGATTGGATGAATGGGTACCACCGATCCTCAGGGGTTTTCAATGGACTAGTAAGCTGAGGGAAGAAAGCCATGTGTGAAAGTGTTGACAGAGAGCTATCACATCAAGAGGCAGGAGACTGGGTTCAAGTCCAAGTACTGGCACTATCATATTTTTGGCATCTCAGTTCTCTTTGCTGTAAAACCAGCATCTCATGTAAAATTTTGATAGCTGAATGAGTGGGGTTGAACCAGATCATTGGTTCTTATACCAGGCCTGCTTGTTGAAAATGAAGACTCCTAGGCCCTACTCCAGATCTACCTAATAATCTCTGGGTTGGTTCCTGGGAATCTAAAATTGTAACGAGCACCCCAGATAACTCTGATGGGCTGCCAGGTTTGAGAACCACTAACATAGACAAAGTACCCGTGGATTTGGGTCTGTGTCCTTTGATGTCCCAGGCTGACAAATGCTAAGACTGGATGTGATCCTACCATAGGAGACAAAACTTGGCTGACCATCAAAGGGAGGAGTTACTTGCTTATTTCGGACCCATCTGTTATACAATCAGATTGTTATATTCCAGGTCAAGGTCATCAAGAGGTATCATCTCCACACCTCCACCCTTTGAGAGAGGGCTCAGGAATTTTAATTTCTCTGTTGCCCTCCTAAGTCCCCTTTACTTTACACAGTAAACTTTTCAATTTGTGTAAATTATTAAACTGAATAATGTGTTCCTCCTTCCTCCCTTGGCAGGGGAAGTTGTGGGAGCTGGCAGAGGGTGGGGGAAGCACTGGAGGTTATAGAAGGTTTGTGCAGACTTTCCCACCCTGATGCTCTTACCCTAACTCTCACCCTGACCCCCAGTCCCATCAGAACAGAACCGTGGGAGAATCCTCCCCTCACCCCCATCCAGGGCATGGGGAAGCTCTTGCTGAGGACGTGTTCTGGTTAGGATTCGAAGATAAAACCTTTATCATCTCTTTACATATCTGACCATGTGTCTTCCCCTTCAAGCAAGAGTAATGTGTCTGCTGATTGCTCTTGACCATCATCTACAGGAACTCTCTTCCCCAAATCCCCTTTTCCCACCCCCCAGAATGTGCTATCAGAGCTAAAACCAAAGCTACTTCCTGTTCTTTAGATGAGGATGTGAGCTGAGGAGAGCAGAGTCCAAACAGGGGCCTGGCTTCTGGGCTTTACAGAGACGGCAGCATTGAGCTTTCTTTTGAAAGGGCCATTATCTCATTTAAGTTGAGATGTTAATGGGGGGGGGGGAGGGAGAAAGCTAAAGAGACAACCTATTTTAGTAGAAGCATTGGCCTGAGAGTTGAGAGACCTGGGTTCCAGTCCATACTCTGCCTCTCACTAGTGTGCGGTGTTGGGCTAGTCTTTCACCCTCTTGGATTTTAGTTTTTGGTTATCTGTAAAATAGGCAAATGTGATAAGCACATACACTCCTACAGATCATAGGTTATTCACAGCTTCGCAAAATTAAGGAATGGACAGGTTGCAGTCTAGGTGAGCTCCTTGAGCAAAATTGTATGGCAGCCTCCTTTTCTCTTTCAGTGTGTTTTGTTTCACAGTTTGTAGGCCAGCCACTGAGAAGGCAAGAACCTCTTTCTATAGGCTCTTCATTTCTTTACTCTTTGACAATTTCATTGGGATTGGAGGTGAGGAAGAAATCAGGAAAGTGCAGTCGGAGGGAAGCAATTTATCTTAGGGCGTGTAAGAGGAAAGGACAGTAGAAGAAGTTATAGTCAAATCTCTCTTATCACAGATCAGTCTTTCTCTTTAGAAAAGTAATCCAAGAAATAAGGTCATTCAAGATGAGCATGGGATGAGTTCTATATAAACATTGCATAGTTTAGAACATAGTGAGTCCTGGGAAAATCACCAAGCTTGCAACTGAATGACTTGGGTTTACATTTAGGCTTTACACTTTCTAGTTTCATAAACCCAACTGCCTTGAGTCTCAGCTTCCTCATCTGTAAAATGGGCCTAATAATACCTAACTTGTTATGAAGATAATTGACGTGAAAGTGCCTGGAACATAGTATAAGCTCAACCTGTTTAAAAAGAATTCCCCTCACCCTTAATTCTAGTTTATTCTGGAGCATACCAGTTGGATTTCTGATTTTGAAGTTCTTATCTTTAGCATTGCCATCTACCTGTACTATCACTAAAAAGGAGCAGAGCTCCTGCCAAAGTACAGCCCAGCCTTTGTCCTAGCACATTAAACTTATACCATCAATCGTACTGACACCTCCTAGACCTTTCATGTTCCAAGCATGGAGGCTGGCTGTTATTTCCTCTTTGTATCCCCACTGCCTGACCCAGTGTAGTTAGTCAAAAAAAAAAAAAAAAAAAAAAAGGTTATTGGACAATAAGCAGTACATGGGAATTGGTTCTTTTTAGTTTTTATAACACCAATAAGAATAGTGACAGGGAGTCTCTTACATTTGTCAAACCTTTCATTTTCGCTTGCAAACAGTTTTGCATATATTAGCTTATTGTGATCCTAACCAGAACCCATGAGTAAGGTTATACCCACTCCCTTCCACATACCTATTTCATAGTTGGGGAGATACAGAGACCCAGAGATGGGATAGGACTTATACAATGTATGTCCAATGGTAGCATCAGAACCAAGACCATAATTCCTAGCTAGCCCCAAGTGGCTAGTGTCCAACCAGAAAATTTATTTGAAGTCCCACTATGTGTATTGTACAAGCCAGGCACTCAGAAAACAGGAAATGTTTATATGCCAGTCCAAGGAAAAGCTTCACATATACTTGTGGAAATTCTTCTCCTTCCTTACGGCCTATGTCAAAGGCTGCCTCTTTTCTGCTGGCACCTCTGGAAGTGAATCCATCCTCTGTATTCCCAGAGCACTTAATTTTGCTGCCTTGACAGTACACTGATTCTGGGTTGCCTTGTCATTTCTTTCACTTCCCTGTACCTGGAAAATGGTGAACAGGTGGTCTTCATCATCTTTATGTTCCCTTCAAAGCCTAACGTCCTACCTACCTAGCTCACATTGATCTGCAGAAGTATTTTTTGGAGGAAGGGAGAAGGGGAAGGAATCTTGGTTTTGGGCTTACCAGCACAGTGGGCAGTAGATTCTGGAGCTGGACAGGAAGAGGCACTTAGTAGAAAATCTTGGAGGGAAAAAAAAGAATGTATTTTACAGAGTTATATGTGAGTATTTGTGAAGCTGAGAATTTCATTTCATGATACCATTAGAAACTCAATTGATAAGATGTGCAAGCAATCTGCAAGTAAGTAATTCAGACATATCTTGAGGACTTGGAGTTAGTGTAGGTAGGATCAGAGACTAAACATTGAACTAGAAGTTGAAAGACCCAGGCCTTCCCACCATCAGCCATGTGACATTGGTTATGTCACTTAACCTCTCCAAGCCTCTGTTTCAATCCATACAAAATGGAAACAATTACAGTCTCTCGCCCTTAGCATTGTTTTGAGGGTTAAATGAGATCATCCAGGTAGAGCATTTAACAGAGTGCCTGGAACATGGTGAGCATTTGATCAATAGTAATGAGAATTATTGTTAAGTGATACATGGAAGGTGATAAATATTTAGTGTGTGACAAGAAAGGGGCCAGATTTAGAGTTTCGCTCTATTAACCTCTGCTTCAGAAATGTGGTCTAGATTATCTTTCAATTACCTGTGGCTCTGACAACCATAACCCTAGGGTTCTTTGTTGGCACTTTACTGGAGTTTGTATGGCTATTACTTCCAGTGTGGGAGTCACCCCTGGGTTGGTTCTCCAGTGAATCAAGATAAAGGTAAGGGTGCCAAGTCTTGAATCCAAGTGAAGCACCAAGGACATGGCACAAAGCTGGATCAGTCCCTGCAAAGTTGAGGAGCGAAGCCCTGGGGAGCTCCACCATTGTTTCCCTCTAGCCCCACCGTGTATGTGAATGAGGGAACTTCCTGCACATTTTCTCAAATCCTTCACTTAGCTTCATGTCGGCCCCAATCGAGCCTTTAGCCTTAAACCAGCAATAGCCTTGAGGCTATGTCACCCACACCTAAGTTCCTCTGTCTGTCTGGTATTAAAGCAACATTTTTCTCAGTGATTTCTTAGTCCATCCCATTTGAGCTGCAAACAGGGTATCCTAGACAGGGTTCCAAACAGAGAGGGCAAAATCTCCCCATTCATTGGGAATAGCTCTTCAATACCTGGTAAATGAAGACAGGCAGACAGACAACCATCGGTAGAGTGTACACTTCACGTCAGTTCTCTAGCAGTGCAGACAGGCTTTCTGTCATTGATTCAGCACACACTTATGAAGCACCTATCAAGTGCCTGGCACCACGGAACAATGATGAACAAAAACAGACATAGTTCCTATAGCCGTTAGGAAGTATGAGAGTCAGGCCTCGAAAAAATAATCCAACAGGCACACAATTAGGATCTGTGATAAGTGCCAAGAAGGAGAGTTACATGTCTACCAAGAACCCCAGCCAGTGTAGCTCACAGATAGGCATCACACAGGCATCCTCCTGGCAAACGCATAATCATAAATTTGCCGAGGCAGAGATCTTGCCTGGGAAGGGTCACTTCGGTTGACCCTACTACTTCACAGGCACACATCATTCTGTCTGCCTCCACACTGTGCCCATGTGGATTTTCACTGATTGTATGGACCATCCCCTAAATCTCAAAGCAATGGAATGGGCTACCATCCAGCCATCTCAGACTCACATTCCCAGGTGAGGAGCCAGAGCTCAAATGAGCCAACAAAATAATCGTGGGCTTGAGAGTTCTTTGTTTCTCAGCACTTCCTTTTCACTTGTATGAAACCATAACAGAAAGGGGCCTGTTGGGTTCAGGAGCTGTCCAGAGTTGTAGGTTCCCACTTTTCCAATTTGGTGGACCTCTGACCAGAAAGACAGTCATAATGAGCAATAGTCAGCCACTTACTGCTCACTGGGTTTAAGAGAAAATAGAAATGTTTCCAACAAGTGTGAATTTCACAGAGGTCTTTCTAGCCAAGGTTTCTCCTGAGGGCTGAGGTAGAGCAAGGCAAGTTAACCCTAAAGAGCTGAGGGTACTTGGATGTGCAGTGGGACTCCCCTTGATGCTAGAAAGTAACCATGGCAACATACATGTCACTCCTCTTAACCCATTGCAGGCCTACAAAGAAACTCTGTTTTGCCTTTCACAGGAAATCACAGCATTGCCATTCAGTCCTTCAGGCACCCACATTGAAATCAACATGCCCCAAACGAGGCATTATCTTCTCCCTCTTTATATACCCTTCCATCTCCCTGAACACCCACTGCACCCTGCCCGTGTTCCTTGCCTTGTAATTAGCATCACCTGTGGCCCAAGCTAGAGACCCAGAGTCATGCATTTCTCTTCATAGCTGGCTGTGGAACTGTCCTCCAGTTCTTCCCTTACATGGTGTTTCCCACCCGACCATGAGCTCTTCAGCTCCAGATGTCATAGTTCCTTCCACCTTCCTTTGCCTGGCACAGTCTCTGAGACCTCGAAATGTCTTATTAATATTAGTTGACCAAAAGCATCCACGGTCAGGAGCACCTGGAGTGGTGAGTTAGTGTTGGAGTTGATCTGTCACCAAAGTGGAATGTGTGTGTGTGTGTGGTGCTGACGCACAATGTTCCTGGGCCCCTGGCCAGAATCAGCCTTTACCAGAGGCCAGGGGTCTACCTCCCAATCCTCACTCTTTTCTTCTCCAAGCCCCTGTCTGTTCCTAGGTGACCAGACATCAGGTGTGCCTCTCAAGGCACTTATCAGGGCTTCCTGGGGGATCTGCGGGGTGGACCAGGTATGCTTTTTTTTACAGCTTCCAAAGGAAGGCTACACAACCAACTTCTCAGAAGTCCGTTTCTATAGAAACTAGAATGTTTTCTATGTAGCCTTGAAATCCCAGAATTCCGGGTCTCTTAGAAATTTAGAGATCACTGTGTCCTCTAGATAAGGAAAGTGAGAACCAGCAAGGTCAAGTGGCTTGCCCTTGGCCAAACCCAGATTGAAGTGCAGGTCTTTTAGCTCACACAGGCCAGTTCCTGGTACACTAGAGCAGGGATTAGCAAACTTTTCCTGTAAAGGGTCACATAGTAACTATTAAAAGAGTTAGGCTTTGTGGGCCATAAGGTCTCTGATGGAACTGTCTAACTCTGTCCACTTAGTGTGAAAGCAGCCATGGACGATACACAAATGAATGGATATGGCCGTGTTGCAATGCAACTTTGCTTACCCAAAGAAGCAGCAGGCTGAATTTGCCTATTTCTGCACTAGAACCTCATGTGCTAGTGGTGGTCCACAACCAGCAGCAAGGGCATCACCTGACAGTGTCAGAAATGTAGACTCTCAGGTCCTAGCCTAGACCTGCTGCAGCCAAATCTGTGTTTCCACAAGAACCCCTGGTGATCATATGTGTATTGAAGTTTGAAGAGCACTGCCCTGGTGAGCCTGGCGGCTCTTCCTACAAATATCAAGAAGAAACCTTATGGATTAGGAAAATGAGACCCAGGGAGATTAATGGACCTGCCCAATGGGTCAAAAAATTGGTGGATCTGGGACTAGAGTCCAATTCCTAGTCTTTCAAGATAGAATTATTTCTGCACACACCAGAGCACCCGCCCCAGCCTCCTTGTTTCTGACTGTCCCTGACCCAGCTAAATTCACCAGAAATTCAAGAAAAGCAGCCCTTTATTCTTTTTCATCTGACTTCTGAATCAAGAGGGCTCTGACTCCAGCTGTGTCTCCTCCTCTTTCCCACCCCAACCCCAACCAAGACCTGGGAGGGGATGGCAAGGTAGAATGTGCCTCTGGAGACTGCCTCATCATCTCTAGGATGGGGGGAAACTTGCTCGCACAGAGTCAAGCTGCAGTTAAACTTCAACTTAATTCTTGCCTTAGTAGGTATGCTGCTCAAAACAGAACCACAGAGCCAATGAACCTTTCATTTTTCACATGCAGAAGAAACTTCTAGACTAGAAGGCCTAGACCACTTTAGACTTTTCCCTTTTCTGTTTGCCCCATCTTGGCCCACACACCAGTCCCTGTTTCTCTGTAGCAGTTTTTTAACCGTCTAATAACAGGTGTCTCCCAAGACCCAGCCTACAGCAGAACTCCATGCTGGCCGCATGCTCCACACAGCATGCACATTGGTGCCCTTGATCCGTTCCTAATTTGGGTAAGAAGTGTTTCACGTTCTTAATTAATCAATGAATATGCGCTGGGCTGTTATTTACTGAACACTTATGGGCCAAGCTTGTTGCATATTTAACTACAGATCTCCCTTGACTTAACAACAGGTTTATATCCTAGCAATCCCATTGTAAGTTGAAAATACATTTACTACACCTAACCTAACCTAAGCTACATCGTAGCTTAGCCTAGCCTACCTTAAACATGCTTAGAACACTTACTTACCCTATAGTTGGGCAAAACCATCTAACACAAAGCCTATTTTATAATAAAGTGTTAAATATCCCATGTAATGTAATGAATCCTGTACTGATACTGAAAACCAGAATGGCTCTTTGGGTACAGAAGAGTTGCCGTGCATCGGTTGTTTACCCTGTGATTGCGTGGCTGGCTGAGAGCTGGGGTTTGCTGCCCTTGCCCAGCGTCATGAGACAGTACAGTACTATGTATCACTGGCCCGGGAAAAGATCAAAATTTGTAAGTTGAGGTATGGTTTCTACTGAATGTATCGCTTCTGCATCACTGTAAAGTCAAAAAATTGTAAGTCAGAAGCCATCTGTATTTAATCCGCTTTACGGCCGAGGGGTTAATGGGGATAAGTGGCCCAAGGACAGGGTACATGGTAGAGCCTAGATTCAAACCTGTCTTCAAGTCCTTTTAGTGCTCCGGGTGCTATGGAAGATGCAAGCAAGAGGGTGATGTGTCCAGACCCCTGATAGCTCACAGTTTACCTACAGGAAATATATGAGAACAATCCTGTTAACACTGGTGTGATAGGCAAGCACCATGGAGTGGCAGAAACAGTACCATGAGTGTGGAAGGCAAGAAAACGAGGGCTTTCCTTAGCAACTTGATCCCCAGGAGGTGATCGGGAAATATTTGGTGTAAGAATGAATGGATGAATGAATGAATGAGCAAGATGGAATGTGTGTGTGCCGAGACTTGAAGCTGGCAAGGATTTGAAAAGACAGTGAGTGAGAGGAGGGGAACATGGGCTGGAGCATTAACATGCAGAGGTAGCACAAGGGAAGGCTGGAAAGATAGAGACCCTGAAGTAATGTGCCACGGAATTGGTTCATGATCCTCAAATAATAGGCAGAGAGGAAGAGGTGAAGGTGTGTAAGCCCAGAGCAATAGGATGGGAGAGTAGTAAGCAGGCTGGTTAGGGGACAGGAAAGGAGATTGACGGCAGGAGACCTGTTCATAGGCTAATAATGCATGAAGCAGGCCTACAGCTCTCAGGCCCAGAATGGAGAGGCTGTGGCCCAAAGGAAGAATGAACAAAAGCCAACAGGAGTAGGGGTCAGACAGAGGGGGCGCTGCCACATGGGTGGTTCCTCCCTCCCCACAAACCACCCAACAGGACCCCAGCTTCTGTCACACACCCCGCCCTCTCCTGTCTGCCTCCACACCAGACCACGCCCCACAGTCACAGAATGGACGCCTTATGCCAGAACCTGTGTCTTTTCCACCTCGGGCACACTGCCAGCCCACTGGGAACCGTTTTCAAGCCAATTCACTCCATACTTGTTAAGCATCTATTTGAATTTAACACCAGATGCGAGAAATACTTTATACCCTCATCTCATCTTAATCCCCTACAACACCCTTGAGAAACACTTTATAATTAGAAAAACGAGGCCCAGGGAGGTCAATTGACCGGTCCGAGGCCACACTAATTGATGGATCTGGGACTGGAGCCAAGTCCTAGTATTCCAAACATGGCATTCTCTCCATATACACCACAACACCCTTCCCCACCTCCCCCTTTCTGGCCAATCCTGACCCAACAACCAGAAAAAGTCTCTTCTGATCACAACTCTCTGCTTTTGCCTTTCTGGGGCAGGTGGGTGGTGTGCGCATCTCTCTGAGCTGTGATTAGCCTGGTGGGTGTAGATGTCGGCAATGTACCTTCTATGTGTCATGCCTGAGAATCAGGTTTGAGTTGAACTGGAAAATCTCACCACTAATTAATTGATTTTATTACATCCACTGTACCTGGAACTGAAGCTTCTCAAGCTCAATGAGCAAAGTAAAGCCAGATAATATACCAACAATTACCAACAATATACCAACAATAGCATTTGACATTCAAGCTGAGAAAGTCATCATTCCATTTAATAAGGTTGTGCCGCCAAGAAATCTTCCCTGAGAAGAGCCAAGAAGAGGCTCACCTCCTCCATGCTCACTTCCCTGCCCTTGACACCCTATCACTCCAAGGTATTTTGTCTCTGCCTTGAGTTCTTTATTCAGAGCTTATTTTTGGAGTCAGACAATCCTTGGTTTGAGTTCCAGCTGTACCACACACCAGCTTTGTGACATTCAGCAAGCTTCTCAACCCCACTGAGCCTCAGGAGTTTTTTATCTTGAGATAATAGTTTCTATCTAACGGAGTTGCCGTGAGGGTTAAAAGCAGTAGCCTTTGTAAAGCTCTAAGCCTGGCCTAGAGTCTGTGCTCATAACGGTCATTCTCTTCCTGTCTTCATTGGGACCTCCAGGTCAAGGTTCCCTTACCTCCACTGCCTCCCGGGCCTTAAAAGACCTTCTCACTCTTGGTTTTTCTTAGAGGCATGATGATGTCAGAGGCTCACTTCAGAGCCATTTCTAGATCATTTCTTCCTGAGGAATTCTCTAGCACACCGCCCCTCCCCTTTTGAAGAGACTGACCGTTACGCGTAGAGAGGATTAGAAGCCCCCATTCCACAAAATACAGAGCTTTCTTCAGAGCCCTGCCAGGAAGAGAAAGCCACACAGAATGGAGGCCCCCCTCTCCCCTCCCCACCCCACCACACAGCAGGCTTTCAGGAATCAACAACAATGGCCATTGTGAGCCCACACTTGCTCTTTCTCTCGCCTCAGTGTAGGGTTGCACAGAATGTTCTGTCTTCTGCCCAGTGTAAAGAATGGCAAGGATTGCTGCCAATCTGTTCTTGACCCAGACAGTCAGGAAATCCAGCCTCCACTTTTGTTGGAAGAGCTCCAACAGACTTTAAGGGTGGAATGCCCCTAAGGCAACTCAGGGAAGATAGAGGCCCTGAGGAGGAAAGTGACGTGCCCAGGGTCACACAACTAGACAGCCAGAGCAGAGACAGAAAGCCCAGCACCTGCCTGTTAGATCAATACATTGCCTGTCCCTGTGACCCTATAGCCTCTCCTCTTTAGAAAGCAGAGACTCTGGGCTGCTTCTCCTTCCTACCTGTTTCCATCTGGATTCTCCAGAGGCAAAGACCACTTGATACCTTCTGGACACCTTTATGGGGCTTTAAACAAATCCCTGGGAGTAGAAGAAACCTGCAAGCCAGTATGACAACAGCAGGACACAAAGGACACTCCCGTCAAAGGAGGTGCTTAGGTAGACCAGGGGTGTCAACACTATGGCTGAAGTACCTCCAGCTCCTACCCTGCACTCCTTGTTCATCCCAGGAACAAGGGATCTCTCTCTCTCTCTGTGTCTCTGTCTCTGTCTCTCCCCCCCCCATACACAGACACGCGCGTGCTCGCGCGCGCGCGCACACACACACACACACACACACACACAAATGCAGGCAAAGGAAAGGAACTAAAGGGACTCATTTCCAAATAAAATGCTGAATCTCCTCCCTGCTTTAGAGTCAAAGAGTGGTAATAGAGATGCTTCATTTGCCAGGAGGGACAGTCATCCTAAAAGTTCAAGGTCACAGTACCTCTGGCCTTCATGGTATGTCTGCTTTTCTCCTCTTCAGCACTTCATTCTTCCCCTACCTTCTCCTCCCCTACCCACCTCTTCCCACCTTCCATTTCCTCCTCTCCCTTTCTTTTGCTTCTTGCACTACCTTCTCTGGGTCACGTCACTCACCATGTAGTGAAGACAGGATATTCTGAGGGCGCCCATTTCTAAGGAAACATAAAATACCCGTAACAGCCACTGTTTCTTTTTTTTTTTTTTAATTTTTTAAATGTTTTATTTATTTTTGAGAGAGAGAGACAGCATGAGCAGGGGAGGGTCAGAGAGAGAGGGGACACGGAATCTGAAACAGGCTCCAGGCTCTGAGCTAGCTGTCAGCACAGAGCCCGACACGGGGCTCGAACCCACAAACCGTGAGATCATGACCTGAGCTGAAGTCGGATGCTTAACCGACTGAGCCACCCAGGCGTCCCACACAGCCACTGTTCTTAATGGCTTTCTGTGTGCTCTCTGTGCAGGGCCCTCAATTGCATCACTTCTAAACCTGACCACAACCCTGCCAGTGGGTTATTTTATCTATGCTTTCCAGATAAAAGACAGACTCAGAGAAGCTAAGTGACTTCTCCTGAGGTAATAACACTTGTGGGTGCCCAGCAGTAGTGTTAGATGTAGGTCTCTGCCCCACAGCTTGTCTCAGGGGCACATTCTACATGTTGGGTTCACAGAATGCCAGGGAATGAGCCCTCCTGCCTGCTTGGTTTGCTGGCAAAGGTCCCTCTCTCTCCACCCCATGTCCGAGCTAGGATCACTAGGAAAAGCATGGTCCTAGAATATTCTTTAGGTCAGGTATGGTTGGGAGACCTGAGGGTAGTCCCACCCGGTGGGAATCTGCCGGGGTGAAGGTCCTACTATAGCCTCCTTCCTTACCCAGCCTTTGGTGCCCAAGGAAACCCCAGAGCCCCTCCCTTCCTGAAAATCAAGAAGCAGTCTTGTGGGGTTCTCCACCTCCCCACCCTGGGCTATTTTCAGGCTGCCAGGCTTCTAAGGTGGCTTTGAAGCTCTTTAGCCAAGAGCAGTCTTTCATCTGCACAGACCAGACCCAGTGGGAAGCTGAGGCGATCTGCTCAGTGCTTAGCTTTGTGAGGCTCTGGGTACCTGAACCACCAAGGGCACGTGGCCCATCTCCATGGAAATTTGGAGGCAGGAGAGGTGCCCAGGCTGACACCTGCCATGCCTTGGCAGGCCGGGTCTGAAAGGCCTGCCAGCTACCACTCACCTGTCTAGACTGTGGGGACTGAACCTGGCCCCACCGCAAGGCAGAGTCCCACTTTCGTCCTCTCCTTCTGAAGAGAGTAAGGAAGTCCCACACCACCACCCCAACCCTTCTCCACTGCATGTCAACTTCTCCCTAACAAAGTGAGAAGGGACATTTCTAACTGCTGTTTGCATAGTTCTTTCACATTCTGTAACTCTTTTGTCCGCAAAACAACTCATGAAGTAGCTTTTATTATTGTGTCTGTTATGGGCGGGGACCAGGGGGAGAATTTTTGCCACCTCCCCAGATTCCTGTGTTGAAGCCCTAATTCTCTACCTCAGAATGTGACTGCATTCAGAGACAGGACCTTTATTTTTTTTTTTTTTACAAATAGTTTATTGTCAAATTAGTTTCTACATAACACTCAGTGCTCATCCCCAAAGTGCCCTCCTTCATGCCCATCCCCTCCTCCCCCCCACATCCATCAGTCCTCAGTTTTTGTCAGCATTCAAGAGTCTCTCATGGTTTGCCTCTCTCCCTTTCCCCCACCATTTCCGCCCTTCTTCTCCCCCTTGTTCCTCCGTCAAGTTCCTCCTAATCCTCCTATACGTGCACACATATGGTATTTGTCCTTCTCTGCCTGACTTATTTCGCTCAGCATAACACCCTCAAGGTCCATCCATGTTGCTACACATGGCCAGATGTCATTGTTTCTCATTGCCATGTAGTATTCCATGGTATAGATAAACCACATCTTCTTGATCCATTCATCTGTTGATGGACACTTAGGCTCTTTCCATGTTTTAGCTATTGTGGAGAGTGCTGCTATGAACATTGGGGTACATGTGCTCCTATGCCTCAGCATTTCTGTATCCCTTGGGTAAATTCCTAGCAGTGCTATTGCTGGGTCATAAGGGAGTTCTATTGTTAGTTTCCTGAGGAACCTCCACACTGTTTTCCAGAGGGGCTGTACCAGTTTACATTCCCACCAACAGTGCAAGAGGGTGCCCGTTTTTCCACATCCTCGCCAGCATCTAGATTTCTCTGATTTGCTCATTTTAGCCACTCTGACTGGCATGAGGTGGTATCTCGGTGTGGTTTTGATTTGTATTTCCCTGATGAGGAGGGACGCTGAGCATCGTTTCATGTGTCTGTTGGCCATCTGGACGTCCTCTTTGGAGAAGTGTCTGTTCATGTCTTCTGCCCATTTCTTCACTGGGTTGTTTGTTTTTCGGGCGTGGAGTTTGGTGAGTTCCTTATAGATTCTGGATATTAACCCTTTATCTGATATGTCATTTGCAACTATCTTTTCCCATTCCGTTGGTTGCCTATTAATTTTCTGGGTTGTTTCCTTGGCTGTGCAGAAGCTTTTAATCTTGATGAGGTCCCAACAGTTTATTTTTGCTCTCGATTCCCTTGCTTTTGGGGATGGAGACAGGACCTTTAAAGAGGTGACTAAGATGGAATGAGGCAGTTACGGCAGCCCTGACCTAATCTGACTGGTGTCCTTGGAAGAAGAGGAGATCTGGGTGCACAGAGAGACATACAAGCAATGCACATGCTCAGGAGAGAGGCCCCAGGGGAATCCACCCTGCCAGCACCTTGATTGTAGCTGTCCAGCCAGCACAACTGTGAGAAAATAAATTTGTGTGGTTTTAAGCCACCCAGCGTAATGAGATTTTGTTATGGTGGGCTTAGCAAACAGACTCAGAAAAGACAAATAACCTGCCCTGTGTGGACACAGAGATTAAGACAAAGCTGTTAGTCCCAAATGCAAGACCCTGTGCAGTTTCTCAGCATTTTCCTTGAACCCTGCAACTCCTCAGTGGTCTCTCAGAAGCCATTTATTAAGTTGTGACACACTTCTTTTTGTAATTCTAGTTAGTCAGACACATAGCCCTGCCAGGAAGAGCTTCAGATGGACACTAGCTAACTAGTGGTACCCCAGCAAGCAGATCGGAGCCCAGCCCAAAGTAATGACGCCTAACAGCTCAGTTCACCTGTGCTGCTATAACCCAGATAAAGGGTCAGCGCCCACAGGCTTTATTAGATTACACAGGCACCCTAGGATAGGGGGCAGTCTTCCTTGCCCATATGGCAGGATGGCTCGGAAACTCTCTGCGTGCCATCGTGTAAAATTTCAGCACGTCCATAGGGGGTTGCTTGGCTCCCTGGGCTGGCACATTGCAGCTCTCAGACCCGAACCCTGGAGTACTGACCAAAGGGGAAACGAGGTAGGAGTGAGGGGTTGAGGGTAGCAAGGTATCCCGTTAGGCTGAAGGTCTTCCATGCTTCCCTAGGACACAGCAAGCCAGAAGCCTGAATCATGCCACACATATATCCTGAGCTTGCCTTGCATTTTAAACCACTGAATTTTCATTAATGTGAACCAGCAGCCAAAATGAGAATGATCATAAAAATGATGCATCAAGAGAGAGAAGGGAGAAGCGCTTGGCTGGCTCAGTCAATTAAGCGTCCTATTCTTGATTTCAGCTCAGGTCATGATCTCACAGTCAGATTGAGCCCTGAGTCAGGCTCTGCACCAAGCATGCATGGCGCCTACTTGGGATTCTCTCTCTCCGTCAGTCCTTCCCCAATTCATTCTCTCTCTCTCTCTCTCTCAAAACAAATAAGCATTTAAAAGAGAGAGAGAAAGAAAGAGAGGGGCAAAAACCAGACTGTGTCAGCATTACCTGTTATATGCAGATAAAATAAATTAATTCATGGAAAGCCTATTACCCAGTTCAATCGAGGCAGGTAGTTATTATTATTAATCACTGTCTTTTTCCTCTTTCAGGTCAAACTGTCAAGGTCTTTGGCACTAAAGCATGTATCTTA